AAATAGCTACCCGCCACGTGTGCCTATATTAAGACTGGCCAATAATGTGGCGGAAATCTTAATACAAATGGCAGGAGCTTCTTTGTACCGTGCATCACCATAATGCAAAAGAAATGCACGATGCAAAGAAGGCTACAAAACTGGTGGGAAAAACTCCTGCACGCGGGTTCTTAATTGCAACAGAACACTCCACCGTGCAAAAGAGCTGCAATTTAGCGGGAACACAATTTAGCGATGCCGAAGCACACACAAACAAGAAAATCACAACTTTGGGTTGTGACACTCAAGAGAAGAATGTTAGTTCAGTAGTTATGGGCGCATGTAGACAAAATGAGGGGCATGTGTGCATGACACTTTAAAGTGGGTTAAATGCTTTTGCACTGCTTTAATGGTGCTGGTGTTTACATGAGTTGGCAGCAAATTGCACATTAATTCCAGCTGCTGTAGTACATTTGGTGGCGTAACGCGCCTTAAATGTCTTTGGGGTACAGCAAACTAAAACACCACCACGGACTTTTAGTTTGCTGCCCTACAGCCATGAAGCAAAGCACTGGGCTCAGTGTGGCTCAGGGACTGTGCAGACAGCCTGTGCAGGCAGTCTGGCAGCAGTCTAGGAAGGCAGGCTCCACCAAAGTAAAAGAAAAAAAGTGGCGAGCCTGATTCTTTTTTTTTTTCCCCCCTGGAGCCTGCCTTCCTGCATGAGCTGCACAGGGACCTGGTCCTTCCCTCTGTGGCGGCCCCCGGGACCACCCAAGCTGGGTGCCTGCGGGTGGGTGCTGCCTGGGGTGGGGCCACTGCTGCTGTGGAGGGAAGCACCAACCCTCCTGCAGCCCAGGGACCTATCCACCCACTGACAGCTCGCCCTCCCCTCTCCCCCCTCCCCCAGAGACAGGTAAGACATGGATGTACATGACATGGTGGTTTACTTCACCCTAAATTGAAGCGCTGTTTTTAAAAACCCACTGCTTCAATTTAGGGCCCCTGTTTTGTCTACACATGCCATAAATTACTAGGCCACAGGAGACTAGGGTCTAAGTTCACTGCTCTATTACACTCATTCTGGCAAGTTACTTAGTTTCTGTTTCTTAACATCTCCATGTGCAAAATCAGAATAAAACACTCGTTTACCTGCATGGGATGTCAAATACATTAATAGCTGGAAGATGCCCAGACAAAGGAGGCCCAACAGATACCTAAGATTTCTAAGAAGATAGTCTGATCACTTAAAGGAACCATCATGCAATAGGAATTCTAGGGATCAGGTCCCAAAGGGAATGAATTCCACAGTAACAATAACGATTTTTGGTCACATGCTGCTGTTTAAACTAAAGCCCTTAAAAGTTTTAAGTGCCAGACACTAAAAAGTTGTGACCTTTATTTCAAAGAGAGTCTACCAGATTTGATATAGCAAATTAGATGATGCTGTTAAGAATCTGTCTAACCATCTAGAGAAGGGGTTGGCAACCCATAGCCCATGGGCCTTTGGATCTGTCCTGCAGAGCCATGGCTTTGATGGCCTTGGGCCATGGTGGGCTTGGCCCCTGCTGTGCCACAGTGGGCATGTCTACATGTGTACTTTAATGCATATTAGTCTATTTTAATGGACATTTAAGCATCATTAAGGGCATTTTTACATGTGCTCTGGGACTGGGGGGGGTGCTTTAATTAGAGCAGCTCTGAGAGCCACTTTAATTAAATCACCCAGAGTCTCATGTATCAGCATCTCTGCGCTTCAAAATGGTGGTGGGGGTGCTTTACCTAAAACTCAAACGAGCACAGGGACACTGATACACAAGACACAGGGCTCGCTGTAGTGCAGTAATTAACATGCTTCAGCATACTCAATTAATCAGGTCTGCTCTGACATGCTGTAATTACATGTAATCACAGCGCATCAGAGCACCCTCTTGTTTCATGTATAGGTACCCAACAAAGTGCTCTTTAGCTAATGCTCATTAAAATAGGCCAATGCACATTTTTCTAGTACCTCACAATGGAGATACTAGATTTAATTTGTATTACTTAAAGTGCATTAATAAACATATAAACATATCCAGTGAGCACCAGGGCCTTTGGTGGAGGGGATGCTCTGCCTGTGCCTCCCACACTGTAGCCAGGCATTAGGAAGAAGCTGGGGAGACAGAAGAGTCCTAGTACCTGCCCTTCTCAGACCTGAGCTGGGTCATTTTGGTTCCTTGCTGGAAGACATTGTTGACCTCTGGATTTATGAAGCAAATGTTGCCCCCTCCCCTATTTTGAAATGTTTTAAAACACAACGAAGTCTAGCAAATAGTTCAAAGTCACATACTGAGTCCAGAACAGAACAGGGAGTCCTGTTCCAACCATTAAATAACACTGCAGTGTCACTCTAATTTACTCCTCAGTTGCTTCAGTTTTATCATGTTCCACCTGGTCCTACTATAAGACACCAATTTGGCCAAGAAAAGCTGCTTACTTAAAAAAAGAATGCATTTCTCCCCCAATTTCCACCCCCAAACTTGTCCTCATGTGATGCGTTTTCTAGATGATGTTTCGAGGGCTTAGAACCTGAGCAGGAAGTGCATGTCTACAAACCTAAATGCTCTAATAGTGGTGAGTCCTTCAGCTGTTTCTGAGAAATGACAGAGTAAAGGTAGCTGGGTGCTGTCATCAAGTTCCTGTAGGTCCCTGTGATCAAGAGAAATAAGTGTGTAAGAGGCAAAAATAAGTCAGGGCCAAGCAGCAATTATAATTTGAACACTAAAGTTCATGGAGATGTCATTGTATCTTATTTATTACCTGTGTTTTTCATCAGGACTATGAATGATCTGTTTATATTAAAGAGGGGCTGACATGGGAATCTCCCATCTTTCCTTTTGAATTCTGGTGAAATCCATGCCATCTTTACAGTTCAGGCTTGAGGTAAATTCAAAATATGAAAGTGGTTTGTTTTCTAGTCCTTCTTTGGATTCAGCCAAATGTTTAGCAGAAATGTAAGAATTAGTAAATTTCCATCTTTCTAGATGACAGAAATCCTGGAAACCAGGTGATCTCATAAGATTTCTGCCACCTTGAGTTTAATTTCCATGAGAAACGTGAGATTCTTAAGTTATTGATTCCAAATCCAAACTCTTGTCCTAGATCCAATTCATTCTTCAACCCGGACCCTGAATACTAGCCAAAAACTAATCCAGATATGAACATGGCATGCACATTAGACAGGGCTAGGCACCCATATCCATTAACTAATCATCCTTTAGAAATGCCTTGCAATTTTGCAATTAATATTATATGTGGAACATGAGAAATTATACATGAATACAGACTGTTATAGCATTGAAACTGCCATTCTGTTGGGATGAGTGAGGCATTTCAGTAGAACGAAAGGGCAAAAATCTGACATTTCTTATTGTCAGTGAGTCAAGTTTTCAAGTAAAAGGACCCTGGTTAGGATTTTATTAAAGAATAGATAAAAAATTGTATTGGTGTATCTTGATGGATCACCTCTGAACAGTTACTCTGTTACTCTGTGTAGAAGTGAATGTTGAGCTTGCAGAGCTGCATTCTCCACTGTGACTACTTTGGACAGTATGTTTAAAATAATAGTGGAAAATAGTCCAAGGGTTGAAATGTGTTAGAGGAAATACCATAAATATCTCTGTTCCTGAAAATTAATGGAGATCACACGCTAGGACAGGGCTGCAAGCAACTCCTGTTCAAATATAGGATGAAGCAATTCCTTACCAGCCTGACTCACAGGAATGACTTTTATGGATGCAATTGTAGTTTTTCTGATTCATTTTTATGTACAGTAAAACAGATGGCTCCTCAAGCCTGACTAGGGATTTTAAAGGAGTTCATAGTATATATAAAAGGGTCTTATCCCTATTTTCAAGAGTGTGCATGGAGAAAGACAGTTATGCGCATACCCATCTATCTGCACCTGCAATAGCCAGTGAATGCACCTGCAGAGGCAGACTGGCCTCAACAGAGGTGAAGAAATTTTCCTGAGTCATTTTCATAGTTGTGAATGGGTCAATGACAGCCAGCAGCCACTAGCTGTTACCAAGCCACAACCTTCACTTAGCCGCCAGTGCATTTGTTTTCCCTGTAGCTAAAAAAAATGCTGGTTTTCCCCTGTGCTCATTAGTCAAGATGTAGAAGCACATAATATGTTTAACATCTCCACCACTGCTACAAAGCACTCAGTAGAAGAGGTAGGAAAATCAGGCACACACACTACTCACTCACTATCCAGGCTATTGTGTAGTCTTTGCTGCCTTATAGAAAACTATAGACTCCCCAACCCCCCACCTCCATCAGCTATATAGATTCCACTTGATTCTTTGTTTTTGTCTTTTTGGGATAAGGACAGTAAAGACATATCTCTGTATACTACAATATAATATAGGATATTGCCACTATTATTGTTACACTGACTTGCTTGTGATTCTCTGTCGAGAATTTCATGTCAATTAATTAGAATCTTTTAAGAGACTGCTTTATCACAAAGAGAGGCAGCAGCCTCTCTGTAGCAAAGGCTGCTATCTGTTTCCATTGTAAATACTTATGAGAAACCCATTGGGCATTTCACAAATGTGGTGTGAGTGATTGTCACCACTCTGAAGAGTCAAAGCAAAGGAAGGGTGAAAGAGAAGTAGAATTATACCTGCTTCAAGGTCACACAGGTCAATGGCAGTCAGGACAGGAAGCAATGTCTGTCTACCGGACCACACTGCCTCAAGGACTTCTTTAATACCATCAACAACAGGCATGGAAAACTGGTAAGGGCTCAATTGTTTGGATCACGTATTAGATCCAATAATGCCTTATTTGCCCATGTAGAGCGGGCCTTACATGCCAGCACAATCTTTATGTACAGGGCTTTTTAAAAAGAAATAGCCATAACAGCTTTCTAATACCTACTTGGAAGCGACTCTGAAGTATTTCTGGATGAAATAAAAGGCTATCCCAAGAGGTACAAGAGCAACGAGGAACCATGGTGTGGCATAGGAGATAATTCCAATGGCAGAAAGGCAAAGTAAGGTTGACCGGGTGAGAGACTCCAGGGTAGGGGGAATGTGCTATTGCAAAAATAAAATGAAAATGTATGTTAGACATCAGGATTTGGGCAACCATGCACCGATTGTGCCCAAGACAGTGGGAGCGGCTGGTCTATGGCCATTTCAATGCCCCTCCACCACCAGGAATCAGGACATAGAGTTTCTCTTTCCTAGGAATTCATAATGCCAGCATGCAGAGGCTGTTGCAGAAGTCAAAATCTGGGTCATTGGGATTTGGCTAATGCTCACTATTTTCAAGGATCATAGAGAAATGGACAGTCACTCCCCTTTACTGAGAGACAAGAAAGAAAACATTCATCATGAGGTATCAACCATATTAGGAGCACCCTATATTTCCCCTATTGTTCTATATACAATGTCTTTTTAAGACCCCCTGCTACCATTCTCAGACATGGGCCCACAGATCTGGCTTTTAGAATAATATCTTATCCAAGCATTTTGGTTCTCAAAAATAATACAAACACTAGAAATACCTCCTCTGCTGACAACTGCTCTCAGTTTACTGTTGTACACTTTTACTTTTCATAGTTCCAGATGGTTTAAGGACAAAAGACCACTTCAGATCATTTAGTGTTATCTACTCTATATCACAAGTCATTACATCTCACATCACAACTCCTGTACTGACTTCAGTAACTTGTGCATTCCTGAAACATATCTTCTTGAAGGTACCAGTCTTCAACGGATGGGGATTCTATCTCTTCCCTCAGTAGCTAATCACCCTCATCTCACTATTTAAAATCTTGTGCCTAATATCTAGCTTGAATTTGTGTGGCTTAACCTTCTACCAGTAGTGCCTTTCCCCACACTGACAGACACCTTTACCGGCAGGAGTGTGAGACAGTACTAATATTTATATTAGGCACTATTGGTCTATATTTTTTCAAAAGAATATGAAACCAGCTGCCCTTGATTCCCAGGGTCTTCCTGGGCTATCTCCAACTTCAGCGGGCTTCCCATGTTGCCACAGGCAGGTTGACACCATGAGTCGCTTGCTGCAAAGCAAAAAGTCTAGGAGCCCTGAGAGCCTCAGTTTATATCCAGGTTCTTGGGACTTCCAAGACCCATGCAGTAGAGCTCAGAATCCAGCATCAGCTACAGCTAGAGCACCCAGGGTTTCTAGTCTCTTTGCTCCCTAACTCCAAAATAATTCATAGGGTTCCACAGACCTGGGTAATAGTAGGACTACCTTGGAGCTAGGGACAATTGAAGTCCTATGGTCCCTGACTTCAAATCAATTTATGTGGCACGTCTGCTCCAGAGTGAAAGTCCTCTGAAACCAAGATGTTTCCAAAACACGTGTAAGTTTCAACAAATCAGAATTTCTTGACTTGCTCTATTCGTAATATACTTTATAAAACTCTGTCATGCAAATACATGCATAGGATAAAAACAGACAACTGGTTTAGTATGGCCCTAATTAGGATATGACTTCCATCAAAACAAACCTAGCACAGCCATTTACATACTAGGCTTAAATGGCAGTGAAGTGGAACTAGCCAGGATTATTCTGAGGCAACGTATTAATTTGAATAATTCTCAGGTACTAAATGTGGAACAATTGATTTATCAGCTTGCAAGGTCTGGGGCTTGCCACGATACAAAATGCTAAATTGCGACTCAAGCCAGTTGTCTGTGTTTTGGCATGTAGTCTTCCAGCATCTGTGCATTGCTCAATACGTCTGTCTTTCTGAGCTCAACACTCATTATCCTTATTAAAGGTATTTTGCCTGAAATTTCAAAATATAGAGATTGCTATATCATCCGTTCAGAATCTCAGTGACAATTTGTATGGCCCTCCGTGTACTAAAAGTATATTTGTGTTCCAAAATGTTGCCATTAGCTGGTTATCACAAGGACTACTGGAATAGAAAGCACCAATGGATTCACCTGATCAATAATATTCGTATCAGCAGAGAAGCGATTTAGAATTAACCCCAAGGGAGTCATATCGAAGAACCTGTTTAACAAAGCAGAGGCAAAAATTTATGTGGAAAGGAAGTCCAATTCTGGCTGAGAAAGTTCTCAATCTGAGCAAAGTGCTACTACTATTCAGCAAGTCTTCAAGCATGCTGACTAAACATAAATTACATACACAATGCTGACTAATACCTGTCTTCCCATTATTTGAATGCTTATTTGAATGCAAGACTTTAAAGTCTTCTCTCCTATAGTCCTTTTTCCTAAAACTTTGTTTCTTCCTCCCTTCATACTTTGGCTCTCTTAATGTTAAAGATTAATTGCAAAGTTCATCTGATGTCCTTGGTTGCTATTCCAGATCTTGGACAGAAAAGAACATTGTCATGCCTACTATCTTCCCCTCCACTGGGCATGGTAATTGTAGTTACTGAATGCATGCTGTCATATGCTTGACCATTGTGCTAGATGACATAGAGTACCTGTCTCTTTGGAGCAGGACTGTGACACACCCCTGAACATAGTAGGTATTCTTTGCTAGTTTGATTTTGCAGCAGAAAAATCACTTTTGCTGTACCTGATTGGCCCAAGGATGATCTTGTTCAGGAGATTGTGGTGAAGGTTCTTGGCTGCTGTGAGGCCCATCCACTCCACAGTCAGAGATGTGATAAGACAAAGCACAATCCCTGCTCCACAAAGCAAGCTGAACCCAGCTACATAGTAAGTCTAGTAAAATGATAAATGCATTATCCTTGAAAATACAGATTTTTTTTTTCTGTTTCAAGATCCCCAGGGCAATGTTCTCCAGCACTAACATCTAGCACTGTGGCCATGTAGGCTAGAATCTATAGGTGCATCTGCACATCGCCCTATGGCAACATTGTCACTGCACTGTGCTAAAGCACAGTGTAGCAACTGCCCATACTGCACTGTGCACTTGGCACACGGTTAGTTTTAGCTGCTACTTCGCCATAGAGGAGCACTAAAACGGGGGCGTGTGCTGCTACTGTGAAGTAGCTGCTGGCCGCTTGCAGACTCACATGATTTCTATGTCACTGTAAGGCATGATACAGTGATGCAGTGTGTCACTATGACGACGTAGGGTGACATGTAGCTATGTCCTTCATGCTACATAAATAAGACTTTCTAACTTACCACCCCAAACCTAAATTCACTGTGCCTAGGTGCAACAGAATTTTTAATTGGTAAATCAGGTTCAAGAGATCTGACTGGGGTTCATGAATCTAGACAAGTTCAACTTATCAAGGTTGTCTTCCTTAACGTTCTTGAAATGAGGGCACTCAAAACTTAGTAGGTTTAGTGCTGGGTCTGATGAAACATCTAATAGGTTGGTTAGGTGAACTAACTGGATAAATATGAAGGTGGCCAAACCCTTAGCTAAATCTTAGACTGATTCAAAATTGAACCTTTCAAAGATTAGAAAGTCAGCTATCAGAAAGTAAAACCATTTTAATTCAAGTATCATTGCAATTTTGGATTCAATCCTGAGAGGATTTAACAGGCTATAGTAATTTAGGCCAACAGAAGACCTGCCATGTGTATTCTGGTGGGATATGAAGCACTGAAAAATCTCAAGAAAAAACCTTTACTGAATTTTGGATACCTTCTGAATTTCCACATATTTATGAATACAAATAACAAAACTTTGGAGCAGTTTTGTTGCTGGGAGCTGCTGGTTACCTAGCACTTTTGAAAATGTGATCAGATTAAGGCAAGTAAAAGCAGATTTTAGAGCCTAACATTAGATCCCTATGAGTGCATTTATACAAGTGCTTTACTGCAGAGCTGACTAATTACCTCCAAAGTAAAGCATCACCATCTACACATGTGCATTAAATTCACTAACTCCTCTGTAGGATATCATGGTCTGGACAAGTAATGTCCTACGGTGGAGTAGTTATATGTGCCAAAATGCATGTGTACATGCTGCTGGGCTGGCTGGGGCACAAGGGTGCTACAGTGCGGAGGCTGCCTGCAAGCTAGGCCTGCACTGTAACACCCTTGTGCCCCAGCCAGTCCTCCACAGCACACTGAGCCAGAGCAGAGTAGCCCTGGGCTGGCAGGTACGAACTGCACCTGAGTTTATTGCTACATGCTAATTGCAAGTGTTGAGGCATCCTGTGTTTGAAAACATAGGCCCCAAATTCTCCTAAACTCAAATGAGTTTGGGTTTCATTTTAACATATGGATGGATGGGTTGTTCTTTATTTTATCATAACAAACACACTGATCCTATAAAAACTGATTTTAGGACACCTATAGAAACAACCTGCCCAAATGAATAGGTTTGTAGGATAACAGGGTTATTTTCCAATTATTTGAGAAGTCTTGTCTGGAAAGCTTTAACTTATGACCCACCTCGTCTGTTTTATGTTTCTCATCCAGGGACGTCCATCTAGCCAGCCAGTAATCTATGGCTACAATGACTGAGTGTTTCAACAGCTTGGAGAAAATCATTAGAAACAGCAAGAAAAATCCTCCAGAGGTAAGATATCTCCAACAGGTTTTCCAGGGCATCTTTGTCCTGAGCCGCATTACTGTTGACATGTTATCATCTTCATCTTCTTCCTCTTCTTCCTCTGTGACTCAGATTATTTGATCAAATCAGTTAGTTTGTACTGAAAGGACTACTCCCATTTTGATTGGAACTGTTTGACATTTTTTAATTTTGGGCAACAATTTGGAAATTTTCATTTTAAAACTGAACATTTTTGACAAAATTGTTATGACATTTCTTTTTAGGTCTCACCAACCCTATAGTTTGCCAACATTTTCTGAAGCTTTTAAAATTTAAAAAGAGAAAATATTTCTAAAATAAAATCATGGTTTTCCTTTCTTTCTTTCCTTTTCTTTTCTAGTCAGCTCTAGTTTAGAGTCACTTTAATAAATCTATGCTTTCTGTATGAATTACATTTATAGAATAGACCAGTTTAAGAAGTGTCAAACCTTTTCTGATTTATTCAGCTTATCTTTACAATATATTTTAGAAAGTAAGATTCAAATGGATTGTTTGGGAAGCTACACACAGCTCTGGCAAGTTTTCCATACTGAAGACTTGCCATTCTCCGCTATTTCCCAGAAGTGGAAGTTTGGGAGTGACACCTTTTTTATTGCCATCAGGATTTCTGGTGACTACATGTTAAATAGGCATCTCACTTAGTCCCTGTGGCAAAGCACTAAAGCAGCTATCCAAAAAAAACCTTACTGCTACCATGAATGTTACTGATACAATGCACTGAAAAATGCAGTCATTGAATCATAGAAAGTTAGGATTAGAAGGGATCTCAGGTCATCTAGACCAATCCCCTGCTCACAGCAGGACCATCCTCAACTAGGTCATCCCAGCCAAAGTTTTATCTAGCCTGGTTCTGAAAGCCTCCAAGGATGGAGTTTCTACCACCTCTCTGGGAACTTGTTCCAGTGTTTTACTACCCTCCTAGTGAGAAAATTCTTCCTAATATCTAACCTAAACTTCGCTTGCTGCAACTTGAGACCATTGCTCCTTGTTCTGTCATCTGCCACCACTAAGAACAGTCGAGCATCATCCTCTTTCAAACCCCACTTCAGGTAGCTGAAGTCTGCTGTTAAGTCCCCTCTCAGTCTCCTCTTCTCTAGACTAAATAAGCCCAGTTCCCTCAGTCTTTCCTCATAAATCATGTTCCCCAGCCCCCTCACCATTTTTGTCACCCTTTGCTAGACTCTTTCCAATTTGTCCATATCCTTTCTGTAGTGGGGGGCCCAAAACTGAACACATGACTCTAGATGTGGCCTCACCAATACTGAATAGAGGGGAATAATCACTTCCCTTGTCACCTACTGACAACATACCTACCAATGCAGCCCAGTTCCTGGCAACAAGGGCACACTGCTGGCTTATATTCAGTTTATTGTCCACTGTAACCCCCAGGGCCTTTTCTGAAGAGCTGCTGCCCCAGCCAGGCAGCCCCCAGCCTGCACTGGTTCATAGGATTGTTCCGTGTTATGCGCAGGACATTGCACTTGTCCTTGTTGAACCTCAGGAGATTTCTTTTGGCTCAATCCTCCAATTTATCTAGGTCACCCTGAATCCTAGCCCTACCTTCCAGTGGATCTACTACTCCCCCCAGCTTGCTTGGGGGCATCTGCAAACTCGCTGAGGGTACGCTTTATGTCATCTTTCAGTTCGTTGATGAAGAAATTGAACAAAACTGGCCCCAGGACCAAACCCTGGGGCACCCCACTTGATACCAGCTGCCAACTAGACATCAAGCCATTGATTACTAGCTAAGACTGTGTGAAGCTTCAGTAGCTGATGGAATTCAGAGGAGATTTGGCCCAATTCCAGGACTGAATCTCTGAATCTGAATCGAATCGGGAAACCATTTAAAAGCTCCAAATTGATTCGGACAAGCTTCAGAAAAGATTCAGCCACTTTGTAGATTCGGCCATGGACTAAACAGGAAGCTGACACAGCTGCCTCCAGCTGGTAAGTCTGTTGGGGCTGGGGGAGGGGAAGGGGAGGGGCGTGGGGAAAAGTTGGATTGGGGCCACAGCTGGGACAAACTGCCCAGCCAGGACAGGGGGTGGGGCGTGTTGCTCAGGGAGGGGAGTGGGGCATGGGATGCAGGCACGGGAGCTTCTCCCATGGCTCCTCTGGCTGTACCTGCCTCTGCCCTGGCAGGGGGAGCCATGGGGGCTATGCCCTGTCGCCACTTCCCCAGCCAGGGTGGAGCGGGTGGGATGCAGGTGCAGCTCACTCCAGGCGGAAGGGGCAAGCAGCAGCTGGGCATAGTCCCCACTCCCAGCACTGCCATGCCCGCATCCCGCACCCCCTTGCACTGGCTGGCAAGCAGCAGCAGGGCATAGCCCCCACAGCTCCCCCCACCGGGGCAGAGGCAGGTACAGCCAGAGGAGCCACGGGTGAACCCCCCATGGCTGCCCTGCCTGGCCCCATCCCCCACCCAGCCCAGCCTCCCAGCACTTAACCCCCCCCAAAAAATAAATAAGCCCCACACTCACCAGCTCTGGCAGCGGCCATTGGGGCCTCTGAGGTCTCGTGGCAGAGGCCCCCCATGCAGTGTGGAGCAGTGAGGGGCAGGGGAGATCACGGCAGCTGCCCCATGGCACAGGTGCAGTGCGTCTCAGCAGGGTGCTGTGCACTGCCTGGGAGCTGGGGTGGCTCCACCTGTCAGCTGGAGCTCAGCACCACTCAGCCCCAGCAGCCCCAGCTCCCAGACAGCGTACAGCACCCTAGCTCCCAGACAGTGTACAGCACCCTGCTGAGCTGTGCTGCACCTGTGCCAAGGGGGGAGGGGGGGGCAATACCCGCTACTCCCACTGCCCCGTGCTGCATGGGGGGGCTCTGTCATGAGACCTCAGAGGTTCCAATCTTTGCTGCAAGAGCCGGTGAGTGCAAGGCTTTTTTTTTTTCTTTTTGCTCTTTTTTTTGTGCCGGGAGGCTGGGCAGGGCAGCCAGAGGGGCTGTCCCCACCTGGGGAGAGGCAGGTATACCCGGAGAAGCCATGGTCAGCTGTTCCTGCCTCTCCCTGGCCAATCTGAATCACTGAATCTCTCCGAATCAGTGCTGAATCTTCTAAAGCCGATTCGGCCAAACGGATTCAGGACAATGATCTGACTCCCCATACTGAATCACTGTCCTCCGAATTGGATGGATCCAAATCCGAATCGAATACTTCCCTATTTGCACAGGCCTATTGATTAGTACTATCTAAGCCTGATGCTCCAGCCAGTTTTCTATCCACCTTACAGTACATTCATCCAGCCTGGACTTCCTTAGCTTCCTTGCAAGAATGTTGTGGGAGACCATATCAAAAGCCTTGTTAAAATTAAGGTACACCACATCCACTGGTCTTCCTGCATCCACTGAGCCAGTCATCCCATCATAGAAGGCAATCAGGTTAGTCAGGCATGACCTGCCCCTGGTGAATCCATGCTGACTGTTCCTAATCACCTTCTTCTCGTCCAATTGCTTGAAAATGGATTCTTTGAGGATCTGCTCCATGATTTTCCATGGACTGAGGTGAGGCTGCCTGGTGTGTAGTTCTCTGGATCATCCTTTTTCTCTTTCTTAAATATGGGCACCATGTTTGCCCTTTTCCAATAACCTAGGACCCTCTCCTGACCACCATGAATTTTCAAAGATAATGCCCAATGTCTGTGCAATCACAGCAACCAACTCCCTCAGCACCACTGGATGCATCCCATCCGAAACCATGGACATGTACACATCCAGCTTTTCTAGGTAGTACCTACCCTGTTCTTTAACCACTGAGGGATGTTCACCTCCCCCCTCCCCCATGCTGCCCAACGCAGTAGTCTGGGAGCTGACCTTGACAGTGAAGACTGAGGCAAAAAGGCATTGAACACATCAGCCTCTTCTGCATCTTCTGTCGCAAGGGTGCCTCCCTCATTCAGTAAGGGACCCACCTTCCCCTGATCCTCCTCTTGTTACTGACATACTTATAGAAACCCTTCTTCTTATCCTTTACATCCCTTGCAAGCTGCAACTCCAATTAGGCTTTGACGTTCCTGACTTCATCCCTGCATGCCCGAGCAATGCTCTTATATTCTTCCCTAGTTATTTGTCCAAGTTTCCACTTCTTAGAAGCTTCCTTTTTGTGATTTAGTTTACTGAAGAGTTCCTTGCTAAGCCAACCTGTTCTTCAATACTTGCTAGTCTTCCTGCGCATTGGGATGGTTTGATCCTGCACTCTTAGTAAGGCTTTTTTACAGTACAGCCAGCTCTCCTGGACTCCTCTCCCCCTCAGACTGGCTTCCCAAAGGATCCTTCCCGTGAGTTCCCTGAATGAGTCAAAGTCTGCTTTTCTCATGTCCAGGATCCATACTCTGCTGGTCTCCATCCTTTCTTCCCTATTTGTGAGCAGCAGGTCAAGAAGAGCACAGCCCCTAATTGGCCTCTCCAGCATTTACACCAGGAAGTTGTCCTCAGTACTCTCTAAAAACTGCCTAGATTGCCTGGATTTAAGTCCCCCATGAGAACAAGGGCCTGTGACTGGGAAACTTCTGCTAGCTGTTTGAAGAAAGCCTCAAACACCATTTCCTCCTGGTCTGGTGGTCGACAGCAGACCTCCACCATGACATCACCCTTGTTGCTCTCCCCTCTGACCCTAACCCAGAGACTGAAGAATTCCCTGCTAAGCCAAGCTGGTCTTCTTCCATACTTGCTAGTCTTCCTGCACATTGGGACAGTTTGTTTCTGAGAGCTCAGTAAGGTTTCTTTAAAATACAACCAGCTCTCCTGGACTCCTTTTCCCCCTTAGACTGGCCTCCCAGGGGATCCTGCCAATCAGTTTCCTGAGTGAGTCAAAATCTGCTTTTCTGAAGTCCAGGGTCCATACTCTACTGCTCTCCTTCCTTCCTTACCTCAGGATCCTGAACTCAATCATCTTGTGGACCCTGCTGCCCAAGTTGCCATCCACTACTACATTCCCTACCAATTCTTCCCTGTTTGTGAGTGGCAGGTCAAGAAGAGCACAGCCCCTACTTGGCCTCTCCAACACTTTCTCCAGGAAGTTGTCCCGAACATTCTCCAAAACTTCCTGGATTGTCTTTGCACTATTGTATTGCCCTCCCAGCAGATGTCAGGGTGATTGAAGTCCCCCATGAGAACCAGGGTTTGTGATTGAGAAACTTCCACTAACTGTTTGAAGAAAGCCTCCATCACTTTCTCCTGGTCTGGCAGTCTATAGCAGACACCTATCACAACATCACCCTTGCTGCTCTCCCCTCTGCTCCCACCCCAGAGACTTTCAACAGGCCTATCTCCAGTTTCATACTAGAGCTCTGAGCAATCATATGGCTCTTTTACATAAAGTGCAACTCCTCCTCCTCTTTGTCCCTGCCTGTCCTTCCTGAACAGTTTGTTCCCCTCCACGACAGTGCTCCAGTCACATGAGCTATCCCACTAAGTCTGTTATTCCAATTACATCATAGTTCCATGACTGTGCAAGGACTTCCAATTTGTCATTCTTGTTTCCTAGGCTCTGTGCATTCATGTACAGGCACCTGAGGTAACTAGTTGATTGCCCTGATTTCTCAGGAAGAATGAGAATACCTTCTTTGTTGCCCCTTCCTGCTTCCTCTTCCTCCAGGTCTCTCACTTCCCCACTTACCTCAGAGCTTTGGTCTCCATCTCCTGGCAAATGTAGTTTAAAGCCCTCCTCACTAGGTTACTGAGCCTGTTTGGGAAGATGCTCTTCCCTCTCTTTGTCAGGTGGATCCCATCTCTTTCCAACAATCCTTCTTCTTGGAAGAACATCCCGTGGTTGTTGAAACCAAAGCCCTGTTGGTGAGCAGCTAGGTGTTGCTCTGCAGGATGCACCTGCTCCTGGAGCCCAGGTCCTTTCCCTTGACCACAAGGATGGACAAGAACACAACTTGAGCCCCAGACCCCCTCACTCTTGCCCCCAGAACCCTGTAGTCACTTTTGATATGCTCAGAGTCTCCCCTGGCAGTATTACTGGTGCCCACATGGATAAGCAACATTGGGTAGTAGTCAAAGGGCCAGATGAGCCTCGGTAGTGCCTCCGTGACATCTTGGATCTGGGCTCTGAGCAAGCAACAGACTTCCTGACAAAACAGGTGAGGTCAGCAGATGGCTCCCTCTGTCCCCTGCAGAAGGTAGTCTCCAACCACCACCACCCATAACTTTTTCTTGGTGGCAGTCGTCTCAATCCTTTCCACATTAGTGAGGCCTGGCCTATCTTCCTCCACCAATGGTATGTGCTCCTCCCTCTCTGCTGCTAGGGCCACATATTTGTTCTCCAGATGAACCACTGCAGGTGGAGGTGAAGATCTCTGCTTGCTGCCAGAAGTCACAAGCCTCCAGCTTCCACCCTCTTGGGTGTCCATGTCCTCTCTTGTCTCTAGTGCTGCATCTGGCATTTCTTCCTCTACTGTCCCAGAGGTCTCCTCTGGCATCAAACTGGTGAACATCTCATGGTGGAGGATGCTTTGGAGCCTTACCACCTTCTCCTGTAGCTCTCTTGCCTGTTCCCTGAGAGACATCACCAGGAGGCACTGCTCACACTGCAGGCACTCCGTGACCTGGCCATCACTTGAAGGAACCTGCAAGCTGTAGTCCCCACAGGACCAAACCTGGACCTGGGTGGAGGCATCAATGATGAGCAGTCCTGCCTGGAAAGAAACCCCACAGGCGCAAGCAGAGGCAGTGGCAGGGGATCTGGCAATGTGACATCAAAAAAAAATCTGTACTGTACTAGGTATGTTCCTTCTTTTCTCATGTCCTTGTGACAAGGTATTTAGCAATGACATTTAATATGGGATCCAACAGGCTGCACTATGAGTGCTTCTGCTATGACTTCAAACTTGTGATCTCTGGGCTGTCAACTGTGTATCTTAGTGCCCATGTCACCCCAGCCCCCACAAATATAAATTGAAACTTAAGATCACTTGCCCACACTGATCTGAACTGCTTTTTAGTTCCCAGATCACCACTCAAGCCCTTCAGCCACAGAAGAGGCCCACTTCAGCCACATGTATCTCTCAAATAGCACTGCTAGATAAAACAATTTGCAGGCATAAAAAGCTTTCAACTACAAGCTACTAATTAGCTGTTCATTTCAGTCCATAACTTGGTCAGTGAGAGTTCTAGGGATACTCCCTTAGCTTTATGAACCATGCAATTCATCCCCTCTTCTCCCTGGCACCATCCTTCTTCCTGACAGAACCGACTATTCCCCTGAGGCCTTTTTTAGAATCCCAGGAATGCTCTTGATGGGTCTTGCTGCCAGCAGCCTACAGAGCACAACATAACTTTTAAAGCAACCCAAAGCTAAATCCTTCCAGCCAAAAGCTATAAAAACTAGGGAGACAAGAAGTTACATTTGCTAAGGGCTGTAAGTAGCCATAAGTACCTAGATAAATAGCTCCATATCACAAAAACCCATCAGTTTTGTTCCATCTCTAATTTTAAAAACACAAAAAACCAACAACTAACCATTTTCTCCCTAAGAAGGAATTGGGAATATCTACAACAGCAAACAAAGGTATTTACAGACTAAATTGATGGGGCATTCACAACTAATTGCATAGCCAAACTAGCAATGGGCATCTACAGTGTAGCAGCATAGTGCCAGAGACCTTTATAAAACTACAATTTTTATTTTACACTAGCCAAGAATCTGGCTCGGCTCAGAATTTCTCTGTACACCTTTTTTCCTTCTACCCCCAACTATCTCTAGCAAACACAGGGCATGTCTACATAAGCAGCCCACTGCACAGTTGTTACTGTACAGTCATTTAGTACTTACATAACTGAGTACTAAATGACTGCGCAGTAACTGGTGGTACTGCACTGTAGCGTCCTAGCACAGTGTACTGACGTGTACTGTGCAATAGCTTATTACTACTGCGCAGTAGTGTTGTGTCAGTTCTAAATATATTCCATTCTAAATATGTTAAAATACAGGACTTTCCACTATTATTACCAAAAAATTAAATATCATTGACATATTCATATTTCATTACCAAGAACATCCAGCCATTTATTATTGAGGTATTACTAAGATGGATAGACAATGATTCGTGTTTACAATCTACAAACTGTGAGAAGATGTATAACTTACCTTCATCCTCATCCTCCAGTTGTGCTTTGGATTCTCTTGGGTACATAGCTCTTCTGAGAGTTTTTCTTTCCAAACTAGTTTGGTCAGCTTCCATATCCTGTAACAAGCACTTTTTTATTGACCTAATAACACTACTCACTGTTTGCACTATTATATTAGTATCAATATCAGCCCCAATATAAGCGAATTTGCTCAATTAGGCCTCTTCTACACGTTACACCTATTATGCAATTACCTAGTTAGTTGCATAATTAATTTAGATTGACTACACATACAAATTAACTATGATGACTTAACAAGGTCCAACCATTTATAAAGTTATTGCTGGAAAATGTATAATAAATTTATAGATGGTTTTTATCCAGCTTTAATTTGCATGTGTAGCCTGTACTCCCATGGCTGGGAGACTGCAACTGCTATGATCTCCCAACCACGGGGGTGCCCCGCAGCTGACAGGATTCTCAGCCCTGACTGTGGTGGGGGGCAGCCAGGGCTGAGAGTCCCGTCAGCTACAAGACTCGCAGCACATGGGACACAGCCATGGCCGAGAATCCTGTCAGATGTGGGACTTGCAGCTGCAGGAGTGTGATATTTGCTGGTGCAGGGGGAGCCCAAGACAGAGATCTCAGACTCCCCCTGAACCAGCAATAAGGCATGATAGGATCTGATGCTAGATCTCCCAGTCGCGCCTCTTGCCATTCACACGTGGCATTGCAGGAGGTCGATTGTGTCAATCGCGTTAGATCATGCCTTTACTTGCAGAGGCAGAGGGACCCTTAGATGAAAGGAATGCAACACTGTATTATAACGGGGTTTATCCTGTGTAGGAGGGCCTAATTTCTTTTTTTCTCAGAGATACGTGTTTTCTTTGCTGGCCATTTTTCTAAAAAAGTAACCCCAAATCCACATTTTTCCATTATTAAAATGATACACCACTTATATATAGATGTAGATATAGTGGTGTTTCATTTTAATCACTCAAAATGTGGATTTTGGGTTACTTTTTTAAACCAAAAATTGGAATTTTTTTTAAATCAGAGAAAACCAGGATCCCTGCTCATCAGGCTAATTGTGGTTAAGGCACACCAGTTTCCATGGCCAACGGCACAAAAGACAGTATATGGCCAGCATTATGTCCAGCTGACTTTGACTCTTCAGTCTGATTTTCCAGGTATCCCTTGGGTCAACTCAGGGTAGACTTTAGCACAGGTCTGAAGCAGGGCTTGAACTCACATTTCAAGTAAGAGAAATGCCTTAACTATTTCACTACCATCCCCAAATGTGTGGCAACTATACTTGTCCTGAGCCCAAGAAGTCTATAAACAAATTACTAAACCTGAGATTTAGGTTCAATATTAAGAAGAATTTCTTACTATGGGGGTGGTTTAATCTTGGAAAAGAATACATCCCTCACCATTCACAGGGGATACGTTCTTGTATAAGATGGCGAATAAGGTGGCTGGAGGGCAGGGGCATGGCTCCGGTGGCAGCTGGAGCCTGGGGGCGGTGGTGGGAGCTTGGTGGTGGTGGTGGGAGCTTGGCGGCGGTGGCAGGAGCCCAGCAGCAGCAAGCACAGAGCTCCTGAGGAGCTCCTGTAAGTATATAAAGGGGATTTAAAGTGAGGGTTCGGCATTCGCAAATATTTGAAACCACGAATGCCGAACCCATGAATAGCGAGGGTTTCCTGTACCTAGGGATGTTGTGAAACCTCTATTACCTGGAGAGTTTAATTGCAGATCAGACAAATATTTAATTAGGATTATTTTATACATGGATGATCCTGCCTTGAACACATGTTTGGATTAAACACCCTCATTAGGTCCCTTCCAGCCCTTTTTCTATGATTCTCTGAATTTATACATTACATATGGTAGAAATTAGTCATGTTGCTAAAGGCACACTTGGAAAATGCTCAAGTACTATAGTGATGGGAGTAGTATAAGAGCCTAAACAGAATGGAAGTGTTGCATGAAATGGAGAGCAGTATATCCAGCATGCCTGCTCCTGCTCAAAAGAACCTGAGATTGGTGGAAGAGGTAAGAAATGACACTTGAGGTCACTCTTACAGTACAGAGCCTGAATCCAAGGATCCACTTTCAGTCAATACCAAAATATGATTTTAAAAGTTGTTACCATATTTCATGGTGTATAAATTGAGTTTTGGAGACAAATTTTTAACTCTTAAAATTCAACCTCAACTTATACATTGTCCCTCACATCAGTGTAAGGCACTGGAAGTCTGGACGGGCTCATGGAAGAGACAGCATGTTGGCAGGCTCCTGGGAGTTCAGGCAGCACATGTCCTGCTGGCAGCCTGTGAGGCCAGCCCCACAAGGTGCTGCTCCCATGGAGGGAAGGATAACCCCTCCCCCACCCAGCTCAGGGGCTGCCCAGCTTGTTGGCAGCTTGGCCCCTGGCTACAGGGCAGGCAGGGAGGCTCTGACAAAAGCAGGATCAGGCCCTTTGCTGCTTTTTACTTCAGCAGGCCAGCAGGATGCCTGGCACCACCTGGGAAGGGGCCAGCTTGCCCCAGGAGCAGCATGGGGTGTTGGGCAGGGGCAGGGGCAGAGACCAGCTCTGTCCAACACCCCTAGCTTCCCCACCACACCCCTGCCCAACTTAAGACGCCTTGTTGGATCTGGTCCTGGTCACGGGTGACGACCTGGTGAGGGGTCTGCGGGTACTCAACCACCTGGGTGACAGTGATCATCGCCTGCTGGAATTCACCATCCAGCACAGGGTGACAAAGGCCTGCAGCAAGGCAGTCGCCCTGGACTTCAGGAAGGCAGATTTCAATGAGGTAAGGAGAATAGTCGGGGAGGCACTGAGGTTGTGGAGGGGAGGGGAGTCAGGTGTCTAGGAAGAGTGGTCGTTCCTTAAGGAGACGATCCTCCAAGCCCAAAGGGCTTGGTGCCAGAGGACTCGAAAAGGGCCAATGTGGTCCCCATTTTCAAAAAAGGGAGGAAGGGGGACCCAGGAAACTATAGGCCAGTTAGTCTTACCTTGGTTCTGGGTAAGCTTTTTGAGAAAGTTATCCTGCTGCATGTCCGCAAGGGGCCAGCAAGGGAGATTATGCTTAGGGACAACCAACATGGGTTCATTAGAGGCAGGTCCTGTCAGACCAACCTGGTGGCCTTCTATGACCAGGTCACAAAATCCTTAGATGCAGGGGTAGCAGTGGACATAGTCTTTCTGGACTTTAGGAAGGCCTTCGACACTGTCTTTCACTCCATTCTCATTAAAAAATTAGGAGACAGTGGCGTCAGCACCTACACAGTCAGATGGGTCACTAGTTGACTGGAGGGCCGCGCCCAGAGAGTGGTGGGGGATGGGTGCTATTTGACCTGGGCAGTGGGGTCCCCCAGAGCTCGGTCCTCAGGCCTGCATTGTTCAACATTTTCATCAGTGACTTGGACGGGGGTGTAAAAAACACCCTATTCAAATTCGCAGATGACACTAAGATGTGGGGAGAAGTGGGCACGCTAGAAGGGAGGAATAGGCTGCAATCAGACCTAGACAGGTTACAGGGGTGGGCGGATGAGAACAGGATGGGTTTCAACACTGACAAGTGCAAGGTACTGCAGCTGGGGAGGAAGAACCAGCAGCATACCTACAGGCTGGGGAACTCCCTTCTCGTCAGTGCAGAGGCAGAAAAGGATCTTGGAATCATTATTGATGCCAAAATGAACATGGGCCAACAGTGTGAGGAAGCAGTCAGGAAGTCCAACCACACCTTGTCGTGCATCCACAGATATATCTCAAGCAGGTCCAAGGAGGTGATTCTCCCCCTCTATGCAACACTGGTCAGGCCGCAGTTGGAGTACTGCGTCCAGTTCTGGACGCTGCACTTCAGGCGGGATGGGGACAACATGGCGAGGGGCCAGAGGAGGGGCATCGGGGGCAGCAGGACAGGCCCTACGAGGCGAGGCTAAGGGACCTGAACCTGTTCAGCCTCCACAAGAGAAGGCTGAGAGGGGATCTGGTTGCCATTTACAAACTAGTCAGAGGAGACCAGCAGGTATTGGGAGAGTCCCTGTTCCCCTGAGCACTCCCAGGAGTGACAAGAAATAACAGTGACAAGCTGACAGAGGGTAGATTCAGGCTAGATATCAGGAGGGACTACTTAACTGTCAGGGCAGCTAGGATCTGGAACCAACTTCCAAGAGAAGCAGTGCTGGCTCCTACCCTGGGGGTCTTTAAGAGGAGGCTGGATAAACACCTCGCTGGGATCATTTGACCCCAGTACTCTTTCCTGCCATGGCAGGGGGTCGGACATGATGATCTGCTCAGGTCCCTTCCGACCCTACCAACTATGAAACTATGAAACTATATAAATGTGTTGACCAATACACTATAAAATATTATAATCTTCTAAGAAGAAGAACAGCGTATGAAATGCCAGTGGTCTGTACTGTAGTCTCCAGAAATCATCTCTTTGAAGAGTCTTTTTGGTTACCTATAACTTGGAATGAATAAAGAGTCAAATGGTGTTAGGTAGGGCAATGAGCTGGGGAAACAACTGCTATGGAGTGCAGCAGAACAAGGTAGATGCACAAAGAGAAGTGCAACAATGGAACAGCCTGAAATGGAGCTATGTCACTCAAAATAAAGACCCCTTTAACTGTCATGGCTTTGTAGTATGTCACTGTTACAACTGGCATCAGGGGATGGTTCTTCTCACCAACAGTGTTAAATTAAAAAAATATGCAAGGAGAGGAATCTGTCCTAGCTGAATTTGTTGCTGGGCTTTTTTCAGCAATTCATTGAACATCAAACTGCTTTCCACTAGACATGGCATAAAGAGGCAATATTATAACATACAGCCCTTTAACTCTCTGCATTTCACTGAAATGTATATGGATCCCCATTTGTCTAAAGGAGCTGAAGTTTGTATGCTAGTCCTAACATAAGGGGTACTGTTTGATTATACATAATACAGCCTCATGCATACCTATACTACAGGGATCCCAAGACTGCTATTAAGAAATAACCTTACCCACTCACTCCCATGCTGCACACATGACATGTTGTAAGAATGTGGTGTGCATTTGTTTTGCATGTGCTTAGGCTTTTTCTCATGATCTCTGTTCTGAGCAAGCATTCAGAATAGCTTTACAGACAATTGAATATTTTTTGGGTACTCACTGTGTACAGAGAAAGGGTAAATGGGCAGGGCTTTTTTTTGCAGTGGCAGTTTCATGACCACTGTGGAGATGGCATAGGCATACCACAAGCCACTTAGGTCTAAATCCTCCTGTGAACTCTGCTGATGCGCAGACTGCCATAGGCAAAAATGAACAGACAATCATGCATCTTCCAGACAGAATTTCATTTTGCACTCAAATCATAGAATCATAGGGCTGGAAGGGACCCTGAAGGATCATCAGGTCCAGCCCCCTGCATGAGCAGGTACAGATTCAAAAACATTAAAGGAGCAATAGTTTGCATACAATATACCCATCCATCCATCCTTACCCCACTGTCCGCAGTTACCTTTTCTAATTCTTGATCTTGACGATTCATCAGAGTTTTCCAGTGTTCATAAAGTTCAACGTCTTTGTTTTGGATGTCCTTCAAAGTCCCTTCTCTGAGCACCATACCATCCTTCATGGCTATGATCTAGGAAGGGGAACGAACAATAGAGCTACTCAGCAACATATCATAATCACTGTATTTGGGGTTCTGCAACATATCTTTACATCAGCTGGGTCAAGCTTGCCACTGAGCTAATTTCTGTGTTGACACTATTTTAGGGCTGTTCAACTTCTAAGTGGCTGGGGGCTGCCCACCCCACAGGCCACACCAACATGGACCACAGGCCTCCAAGTCACACATGACTTGGATGTCCAACAGCAACAGGCAGCTCCTGCTCCCCTGCTGCAGCATGCACTTGAAACCCCCTTCATCTTACCGCAGTGAATGTCTGTGCAGGTGCCTCCCAAGCTGCAAAGATCCTGCATGCATGCCCCCTCACTGCTATACTTCATGACCCCCGTCTTACCCTGAGCTCATACCACCCCTTGAGGGAGGCACAGAACACAGAAAGTGGAGGAAGGACTGAGAGCTCAGAGACTCTAGCTGCTATGCAGCCAGAGCAACAGGGAGAGCGGCAGGTGCTTGAGGACCTTAACTTAACCCTTCATGGGCGGCATGTGGCCTGTGGGCCACCAGTTAGACAGCTCTGTCTTATTCAATTTCAGTATATGTTATTCAATTTCTTTTTAATGTTACTTTGGCAATACACATTTTACAATGAAACTATTACAGGCAATAATAATTTGTAGTCATACTTGTCTTGTTCTTCCAAGGACACAATAGATAAGGATGACAATTATAATTAATTTACATTTATATAATACCTTTTAATCAAAGATTCTAAGCACCTCCAATCAGTTTACAAGTTATGGATCAATTCCTTACCCCATGAAATGGAAGTAAAGCGTAAGTAAAATACTCCTGTTTTGGTAACCCATGTCACCTACCTTTGTGGACAGATTAGGTGGAAGGTAGAATCTGGGGAAGGGGTTCCATGCACACTACAAGGACAGGTTCCTGGCAGGACTGTCATTTAAAAACTAGGGGCCTTTGAACACACAACAAAATTCACCTTTAAAGTGGCTAAATGCCCTTTTGCACGGCTTTAATGGTGTTATTTACATGCACGGCAGAATATTCCACTTAAATGGTGTTACTATTTACATTCTCAGTGGCGTATTCTACTTAAATGACTTTGTAACTTAGCAAGGTAAAACCCCTCTGAGGCATTTTAGTTTGCTAGCTAACAAAGTGCAATGGTGCACGGGGCACTGGAAGCCAACGTGCCTGGGAAAGCTTGGGCTTGGCGGACTTCCAGTGCCCCATGCATTGTCCCTACCACCTTCTCTTGCTGCCAGCACACCCAGCCACCCTCCTGCCACCTTGCCACTCTGCCCCAGGGGCAAGCCAACTGTTCCTGGGCAGTCCCAGGCAATGGGGACGGTGCACAGGGTGATGGAGCTTACTTGCCTCTCCCACAGTTAGGGGATGAGCTGCCAGCAAGCCAAGCAGTTCCTGAGCTGCGGGAGACCCCAGTGCTTCCCTCTGTGGTGGCGGTGCCCCCCAGGTGTCACCTGCCCACTGGCACCTTGCCTGGGTGATCCTTGGGGGTGCCACCACTACGGAGGGAAGCATCAGGCCCCATGCAGCTCAGGCAGGTAGGCAGACTCTGTGGGGGGGAAAAAAAATCAGGCTCCTCGATGTTTTTTTCCCCCCCCTCAGTGAAGCCTTCCTGCACGAGCTGCCACTGGGTCTCACAGCCCCTGACCTGCATAGGGCCCAGTGTTTTCCTCTGTGGTGGCAGCACCCCCTGGGACCTCCTAGGCTGAGTGCTAGCGGGCGAATGCCAGCCCAGGGGGGCACTGCCTCTGTGGAGTGAAGCACCGGGCCCCGTGCAGCTCAGGAACCTCTCAGACTGCTAGCAGCTTACCCTCACCCACACCGCAGGAGAGGCAGGTAGGCTGGGGGGAAAAAAAAAAGGATCAGGCCCCCTCACCCTTGTACACATGATGTGGGTTTAATTCTCCCTAAATTGAAGTGGTGGAAACCGTGGGTTTTTAAAAACTCACCATTTCAATTTAGGGAGAATTAAACCCCCGTTGCATGTACAAGCACCCTAGGATCTGCCTTCCATTTTATACCTACCAGGGGCCCATAGAAGTTACTGCAACCCTGATGATTTGAAAAACTAACAAGTAGGAAACTAGAATGAAGAAGGCTCCCCTCTTACCCAGTCAGCATGTGGCAGATATTGTAATTTGTGTGTCACCAGAACAAGTGTTCTTTTGTCTTCTTGGAGGAATTTCAAGATACCTTCCTGCATCAAGTGATCACTTAAGTGAATGTCCAGTGCAGAGAAGGGGTCATCCTGTGAACAAATAAAAAAAAATAGGGGCAGAGGGTTATGAACTAGCATTTGCTTACTTATTTTTTTAAACACTTGACCCAATGTAAAAGAGCCAACAGCTTTTAGTGAAGTGCCAAACATCTTACTAATTTACATGTGTTAGTTACGGGTAAACTAAAAAACAATAAGATAAAAGCTATTGCTGTGGAATTAATTCAGATTTCCCTTATGATTTTTTTTGTTTTGCTTTTGATTCATAAGTCAGTTGAGCACTAGTTCCAGATGGACAGACATAAAACTACGGGTATGCAAAGCTTTGGTTGCCGATTCAATTTGGAGAAGATTCAGCCCGATTCAGAGGCCAAATCACCAAAACCAAATTGAATTGGGAGACCAGAAAAAACCTCTGAATCAATTTGGAAAAGATTCAGAAAAAGATTCGAAGATTCGGAAGACAGTTTTTCTGGGGAACAGAAACTGAGAAGAGGGAGGGGGAGCAGGGGGGAAAGACTGACATCTGTAGCTGGCCAGTGACTGTGATCTTTCCCTGAGTTCCCTTCCAATCACAGTGCTCTGCAGGAGGGACATAGAAACAGCACATAAGCCTCTGTCTGCATCCTTTCTGTCCCTTTGTGAGCTGTCTCTGCCTGAGCAACAGGAGATCTCCCTGTTACAGGCTACCATCCCTGCTGGTTTCATCCTGCAGTGCTTTAACACACACACAGAGTCACACATGTCACGAGTTTTCCTTGTCAGCAAGTTGAGGTGCAGTTTTCCAGAAACCCCTGCACCTATCTCCTTGAAACTTGACAGGCCTCATGCCCTCAGAAGGGGCTACCATCCTTGCTGTTTGCATCCAAATCTGCCTCAACACACACACGACATGAGTTTTGCTTTCAGCAGTTTGAGGTGCAGTTTCCCAGAAACCCCTACACCTATCTCCTTGAAACTTGGTAGGCATCATTCCCTAAGAAGGGGCTATTGATTTGGCCGAATCGATTCAGGACAATCTGAATCTCAGAATCAAACCACTGTCCCCCAAATCGGCCGACTCCGAATCAAATACTTCCCTATTCACACAGGCCTGATAGAAACTAGCGAAGGACTGGAACTGTAAATCGCTTACCCGTATCTGGGTAAGACTCAGGCCTAATCTAAATAAGTATCTGATGTCATCTGTTATTCTACATAACACATCCAGCAAAGTCTGTAGCAATGGCAGCTTCCAGACCTACTAATATTGTGATTTTACTAAAAGGAAAGAATTATAAAGGTGAGGGACTAATTCAAATTTACAACAAAATCTCTTATCACAGATCTCAATTGTGCCAGTAGGTAGTTTATTCAATGCATATGTTACACTAAAATAATTGAGGGTATTTTTATTTTAACACATCTTCTAAAAGTCCACCAGTTTATTTTGCATGGAAATCAAGCAGCCCTCATATAGATGATGACTTTCACAATGTGAATTGAATTTGGAGTAGTGAGACAGAAGTGAAAAGCTGCACATCTCTTTGCTAAATACTGAATCTATTCATTCCCTGCAGTAGGCTAAATTTATGTCCATACTCTTTAGGATGCTCCCTTAATTTCACAGGGATGAGGCAGTTTAGTAGGACACTACTCAGTGCAAGGAAAAGTATCTTAATCTGTTCCAAACATTTGAAACTGAGATCCATAAGAGGCCTCTCCTTTGTAAAACTCCTTCTATGTTCTGGTACTTTCTCTGGTCATTGCTCATTTGTTCTTCTTAATACTTGTGCATTCTGGATTGAAAAGTAGATTGTCAACTGAATACAGGTTCTTGTAAGAAATCTAATAATGAGGGACAATCATTTTGTTACGGAGTTTCCACATGTTATGTATTAAAAAATAAAAACAACTTACCAAGAAAACAACATTGGTATTTTGATAGAGTGCTCGAGCTACACAGATTCTTTGCCGTTGGCCTCCACTTAAGTTAATGCCCTAATGAGTAAAACAGATCATAAATATGAATCATTTGAATAAACAGAATGAGTTGTGCATGGCATATATATTGCCATTTTAAAAACCACCCAAAGGAATATCCCAATAAATAGTCGAAGCAAGCACTGATAAAATGCTAGTCCTGTGGGTGAACAAAGTAATTGTATTATATCCTAAGAAAGAAACCATAATTATTAATCCAATTTTGCATAAACTAATTATGAATATCCAGGAAATTATAAGTTCTTTTCCTGGTACACTAGACCTTTCTTAGACAGTATAGTTCAAATGCTGCTGACATCAACTATGACAGCAAAATATGTACAACTGTTATCAAAGTAGTCTTTCATATAGAAAGGGGTGACCTAAAAAATAACAAAGGTAGACGATTTAAAAAAATTAATTTAAAATAGAAACACTGCTATGATTCAATTTTTAAGGTATTTTATATGGAAATGTATTTCCCCATTATTTTAATAATACGTAAACTTACAGTGTTACTAAAAATACTGCAAACTGTTATTGCAACTCATATGAACATCCATAAAGTAGCTTAAATGTCTGTCCAAAACACTGATAGCAGAGAAGCCACAGAAGCACAGAACTGAATGCTGGCTACTGCCTGAGTTTTTTGCAGTGTCCCAGATCGAACTCTGTGGACATGTCCCCATGAGCGGGAATGTGCATTTTCCCAGGGACAAACATGTGCCACAGCTAGTTGTCCCCAGGGAATGCCCCTGCACGCATGCTCTGGTATGCAGAAAGTTACCCCAGATGGGGTAGGGGAGGCTGGGGCCAGCACCTGGGCTGGCCCCAGCAGCCTTACCTTGGGCCCTGGGAGCCACCCAGGGCTGCAGCAGTGGCGATCCAAGCATGTGGAGCCTGGCTAGCACTGGAGGGTGGTTCTGGCTGGTCAGGCTCCAGTTTTGGGAAGTGTACTCTGCTCCCATGTGCACCACCCACCATTTTCTGTCTTGTTCTTTCCTGACAGCAGGTTCCCATTGTGTCAAAAAAAACTCACTGCTCTGCTAATTGGTAGTGCAGTGAATGCATGCATATGCTGCACATGCAGTTTGCAATGCTGCAGATGGGTTTGCAGGTACCCAAGCAAGCTAGTTTAAATCTGGCATAGGTATTTTCCAACAAGCTGCAATCACATCTTCAGATTTTAGTGAAAATATACTGATGAGAGTTTAGAAGTAAAACTCCTCAGGTATGAGGTAAGTGCCATAGCTCTTTACTTTTGTCTATGCCACTAAGTAAATATAGACACAGGTTCAATTCTTATTTACACCAAGATCACCTTTTCCCATTCTAGTAGTGTTAGAGGGTTATATTTACATCCATTTTCAAACCTCTTTACTCTGCCAGAGTGATGTAAAGGGCCTTCATTGTAAATGAGAATCAGGTGTACAGTGTACAATGAACATAATGAAATTACTGCAGGGATAAATGTCTTCTATTGTTTTTAGTAAGTCTGTGCATTATTAGTGTCCTAAATGGCTTAATTTTCCCTGCTGCATGATAAAAAGGAATGCAGTAATTCCATGGTACTTTACAGAACAATTTAATGCACAGGGATGGATTCAAATCGCAGCAGCCAAGAGAATTACGCACATTTGCATGCAAGTAACTACATGATTTTAGACGAAGGTCTCTGCCTTGGTGATCACATGAGAGGACTGACTAGTACCATAAAAAGTAGAATTAATAGGTTACTAAGTATCATGAGTCTGATGAAAAGACTAATAAATACAGAATAACTATAACAATCACTACAGAAATAAAACTACTACTAACATTTACCAGGCTTTGCAGCCCAATGCAAACAAGAAATGTGACATTAAAGAGTGCCTTCTTATTACATAGACCAAACTGTCATAACAACTTTCTTTACCCTTTCTCCAATTTCTGTCTGATCACCAAATGGTAACAAGTCAATGTCGGGTTGTAGAGAGCAGGCATCTGTAACAGTTTTGTATCTGTAGAAAGAATGTCAGCTCAAGACCATTATTAATTATAGAAGGTAACCAGTCAAGAAAACAAAATCATTCACTCAAGATTCAAACTGACTCTCTTGCTGAGGTTCAAAAGATTTTGAATAACTTTAAAATGACTTCTGTGAGGACTGTACAAAATAGTATCTTTATTAGTGTTATTTTTTTACTGGATCTACTTTCTTGTGATCTAAAAACTACCATTAGTGGGTGTGTCTACATGATGTGTGTGGTAGATTAATCTACTGCACAGTAAGGCATCACCATTTACACAAGTGCATCATTTACCACACAGTAAATCAGTCTACTGTGCAGGTAGCTACTACCTATAAATATAGGTAGTAAACTAATTGCAGAGTAGTGCATGTGTAAATGCCAAGCAGCATCGGGTAACTCTCTCCCCCGCCCCAGTCCCGGTGCTGTTCAGCTCCCAGCCAGGAACTGGTCTAGAGCAGCCCCACAAAGGGTTTTCCCATGAAGTCTGGAGCTGGCTGGGAGCTGTCCCACTTTTTGGGCAGCTCCCAGCCACCTCTACGATGCTTGCAGAAACCCCTGATTACCCCTGACCAGCCCAGAGCTGGCTGGGAGTGGCTCAAGAAATGGGACAGCTCCCACCCAGCCCCTGGCTGCATAGGGAAGCCCTGCTGGTAGGCGTGTGCGAAACAGGCCATATTCGATTCGAATTCGGATTTGGCCTGAATCAAGGACAGTGATTCAATTCATTGATTCGGATCACTGTCCCCAATTAGATTTGGCCAACTCCAAATATGAAGATTCAATGCTGATTTGGAGAATCGGTGATTTGGCCACAGGCACAGCTTTAAATGTTTTTTCTACATACCTCAAGGTACTAAGCGCAGCTTATGAATGCTGTGATGGTGGGACAGATGGAGTGTCCCACAGGAGCGTGGGGGGCCCCCCTGCGTTCTCGGCAGCAAACCCGGAAGTGGACTGGAAGTACTTCTGGTCCACTTCCGGGTCCATTGCCAAGCACACAGGGCCACCCCCCGTGCCCCTCTGGCTCAGCAATCAGCCGTGGGGGGACCCCGGGTGCCCCCCAGACCGAGGAGGCACCAGTCACTAAGGCGGGGGGCCCCCCAGTGCGCTCCCCTGCAGACCCCAAAGTGGACCGGAAGTGCTCCTGCGTGCTGGGGAGCCCCCTGTGCTCCTGTGGGACGCTCCATCCTCCCCACCATCACAGCATTCATGAGCTGCCTGCTACCCTGAGATATGCAGAAAAAACATTTAAAGCTATGTCTATATCCAAATTGCTGAATCTTTCCAAATCGATTTGGAGGGTTCCAATTCGATTCAGAGAGATTAAAGGGTCTCCTGATTCGATTCAGATTTGGAGATTCAACCACCGAACTGGGCCGAATCTCTACCAAATCTAATTAGGGACCGAAGCTTCGCACAGCCCTACCCACTGGGCACAGGACTTGTCCCCATATGCAGGGGACCAAGAGAGCTCTGCAGTGGTAGCTGCCTCCCAGCCCCCTGCACATCAGGACCCCTCCCAATGTGCACGGGGCCAGGAGACAGCTGCCGCCACAGCCAGTAGAGCTCTTCTGGTCCCATGTGCATGGGGACCATCCCATGCTCCCTGCCAGCCCCCAGGCTAGCACCTCAGGGGACCCTGGACCTCCATTAGCTGCTGCAGGGGGCCAGAGCAAGGTAGGAGTAACCCTGTACTAGGCTGTTCCTGTTGGGAGCAGATTTGATTCCAACAGGGAACATGTATAGACATGCTCCCAGGGAAGGCTTACTGCACAGTATTTTACTGCACAATAAGCCTTTACAGCATTAATAGCACATGTAGACACAATCCAGCGAGTACCATTTCTGCACTATTTATATGAAGAGACCATCCAACCCTTTTAATTAATTCCTTGAGTAAATGTGCAGTAAGTTTCCATAATCATAATCCATAATCATTATTTTCCCTCTCAGTGCTTCTTCACTTGCTTTTGCTCAGAAGTGCAAATAGCTAAATCAGGCAAAATCATTCTCTGATCTGAATGGAAACAGGAAATCTTATAAGAGAACTTGTTGCCACGCAATTCCCAGCTCTGTAGGAGGTAGTTAGGAATAATCTGCTGATAAGCATCTGAGCTCTTTCTCCGCTAATGTCAATTAAATTAGCCTGATTAAAAACCTCTATGAACCTGGCCCCTGTACCCCTGGATGTATATCTGGAGTTTGAGATTTGCCCATCACGTACTGTTCTTACGTGAATTGACACATCTTAGGAAAGCTTACACTGAGAGGAATGGAATTTGTTTTTAATAGCTCAGAGTGCTGCACATAAAAATTACTAACCTCCAGGAATTTGTTTTCCTAAAATCAAGTCACTTTTTCCACTGTATTTCTTAGCTGACTTCTTAAATTAACATAGGCAACAGCAGGCATGATAGAACCAGAACATCTCAGTTTTGATATTCAGTTCCTTTGCATTTCCAATTAGAGACACATATCATTGGGTTAAGGTAGGCACACTAAAGGCAAGCCTGTCCTGAGCCCACTTCTATTGATTTAAGTTTTAGAATGTGATTCTCTAATATCCATTGGAGTAGAAAAGAATCAAGGCATGAATGATGGCTAGGTCCTCTGCTCCCAGAGTCACATGATGACCCTGGAATCTCATCCTGAATCAGAAAACTAGACAACATGTTTCTAGTCTCCACATGTAACAGGGATGCAGAGGTACCTGAGACAGTATGTAGCCAAGGGCAGAATGAGCACCAGCCAATAGAAAGCCTACAGAATGAACTTACATATAAATTGCTAATTACCTCTGTTTGTTAAAAGGGCTCCCACAGGTAATGTTTTCTTCCACTGTAGCATTCAATAGCCATGGCTTCTGTGCTGCATAAGCCACAGAGTATCTGTTTCGACTGAAAAAATTAGAGCACCAGTGAATGAGATCAGCCTGACACTTCTTAGAATTGAGTTAACAGTATGCATTAAAATGTAGGCAATGGAAATGCACAGAAAGCAACCATGATAAAAATAAGGGGAGAAGCTTTAAATGAGAAGGTTACAGCACCCTCTCTCCGCCTTGAGGTTAAAGGTTTTCGTTCTAGGTTGTGTGACTTCCACACATGCTTGAAATGGGCTGTTACTTAGCCAGACTTGATATATGCAATTGGGGACCAAAAACACATTATAAATGTCTAAAACTACCATTCTGTCAATTATTAAATCCTGAACATAAATTTTAAAATATAGAAGCATATCAACTTGGGTTCTTTTATTTTCTGCGGTCAAAATCATCTACTTATTAAACAACATTAAAAATTGAGATTATCAGTCCATTTGCCTTGCTGACTTTCGGTGTTCATAGGTTATGTTAAACTGCTAAGTGCTTGCAATACATTTTTAGTAGAGCTCTTTCTCTTATATTTAACTCCATGTTAACACCTTAATGGACTGACATGGCACAGTAAAGTAAGATAATTCTGTACTAATTTGGATAATAGCATTATGGTCTTTCAAGTAAATATGCATACTTTGAAAGTACCTGCATGTATAACAATATCTAAATCACACTTGCTTGGCTGCTGTGCCCTTTACTCATGCTGTTTAGCTTATGCATTGCTGCCAATAAGATCATACAGTATCAAACATTTTTCTGAGACTTCTTCACTACTTAAACAAGAAGGTGTGAATTACAGATGCACTGTTAGTCTGAAATCTAATTTCTCAATCTATGTTGCTTCAAGTAAGATAATTCACATTATTTTTAATGTTTGAATCCTTTTTATGGGAAGTTTCCATGTTTTGTGAGAGAGGGTGCTAAGGTATTGGAAACAGTGGTTAGAAGCATTCAGCATTATCCCATAACTTATTGTGTTTAGGGATTTAGAAGGCACCAATATGTTAATATATCTCCTTAGATTGTCACGTATCAGATAATGCAGTGGTTCCCAATTACAGTTATGTGTATACTACTGATGTAGTACTTTTGCCATTTTGTGAAAGGTATTTTTGGCCTCCTTACCTTCCATCAGGACCTGTTTCTTCCCACTGAAGTCAATGGCACAGTAAGTAAGTGACTTCAACAAAAGCAAAATTAAGCTATCTTCCACATGCCATCACTATCCACCCTGCTTTCACTCTGTGAGCTCTAATACAGGAGTGAGACTAAAGATTTGGAGCAGCAGAAAATCCATTTTTGATTACCACAAATGGGAGGATGGAGGCATTACAGCCTGACATCTATAAGCCAGATCCTCCATGTTACTGGGTGCCCTAAGTTCTCAGCACTGCCAGTGGGAGTTGAGAGCACTTAATAATATGGGGGAAAATGCTTTACACTCCTCATGCTCAAGCTTGTAAACTGATAGAGGAGCAAAATTCCCTGTTCAGATTGGGAACCACTGCATTTAGTCAGATAATCCTTTAGCAGGTGATTATCTACATGGTAAGAAGACAAAGATATGACTGAAGAATACAAAGATGGAGGTTCAGGGAGATTCTGAGGAAGCATATAAATCAGATCAAATACACTGAAAATGGAACTAATACCTTCTGGGTGCTTCCAAAGAAGGTTCATTTTCATTTACACTGTAAGTTATGGTAAATGATGTTTAGTATTCAGGAAATATAGACAGCAACTTTATGTGTAAAATTAATCTATAGGGAAAATGGTTATTGTTCATACTTAAACATGTACATTCCTATATCAATTTGCCTTTTAAAGAGAAAATTGTGCAAGTATAATTATTGATATATAGGAAGAAATTGTGGCTCTGCTGTTTTTCATTACCACATACCTGTACTGTCAGCAAACTGAACTAGCAAAGTTACAATGTGGTTTGAAAATTACTTTAAAAATAACCAGGGAAGTTTAATACCTACCAAAGTAAGGCACCAGTAATACTTGAGCATATATAAGTTCGGCAGGCACTGTGCATGCTCCCCCACAGAGTTCTGTCAATGTATTGTAGACCAATTTCAGTTCTAACCCTGAGTTATGCCACATCATACTTTGAACATGGTTTTGAGATATGCTTAAATGGGTTCTGACTTGAAATCACTCAACTCATTTTCAATGGTCAACCAGGAAAAGTTTTCCATGCTGATCAGTAGAAATAAAATGCTGTATCATCGCCACCACGTAGCCCTGCCCCACATCACAAATTCATCAAGGAACATTTTTATACAACACATTTTCAATGGCATGCAATGGCAAGCATGATATATATAACATCATAGCTTTCCCTTTTTATTAACAGAGTTAACAGGATTGCTGTTATAGGATTCTAGTCAAAGGAGGCCTGGAATAGTATGGTGTTTGTTACCAGGAATGGTGATGCATCACTGCAAGCTGCAATAGCTTGGAAACCTAAAAGAGGAAGGTTATGCTAGGTAAATGGAAACAGATATTAGGAGGGATTATTTAATTCATTATTTGCATGACTTTCCAAAAAAGCCCATGAGTGTATGGCATAGAAGTTGGATCCTCAGGATGAAATACTGTATGGCTGAGATCTGAATGTCAGCCTGTCTGCCAGGAGAGAATCATCAGTAGCTGCAGAATATCCAACTGCAAAGGGTATAGACTTCTGACAGTAGAGCCCTGCTAATGCAAGATTTATATATTTAGCATTTTCCTAGAACTGGGATGTGTTGGATCTGCTCCTCTGTATAAAATAACTGATGGCTTCAATAATTCTTATCTTTAGAGGTGAGTAATGTTGTGTTTTCGTAAAACACCCCAAGTAGAAAGTGTTATAATGTCATGAGTGAATATACTTTATTATCACTCTCTGCTTTTTTTTCATTTTCCTTTGATGTATGAGCATCACAGATTCTAGCTTAGGTAGGACATTGTTTAACCAGAATCAGCACTTCATCATCAGAAGCTTCCTATCTTTTTGACTATGGAAAGATATTCCAAAAGAGGAAGAGATGGAGGGATTTCAGATATGAAATATGGTACAAATTAGCCCAAACTAAAGGGACAAAAAGTCCTGGAGTTCCAAAGATTTCCATTTAAAAGGCTCTATTTGGATACAGCATTTTATAAACCTGTGCCTAATAGGTTTATGCATTTAAATCTGTTTGTTTGCTTTTTACTCTTTACAGAAAAAATATCTACATTTCTCCACAATGGATTGTTCCCAGAAGCCTTAAACTATGAAAAGCATTGGATTAATCAGATCAATCAGTTAACTTCTACATTTTGTACATTAGCTTGTCAAGTGTACTCAAAATCAAGGTTTTTAGGGAAAGTAAAAAAGAGACTTAGATGAAGACTGGACTGCTTTCAATGTGCACAAGGCTGGAGCTTTACAGACACACTAACTTATCTTCAAGGGCCTTGATATACATTGTACTTTGAGTTGTTTAAACATTGATTGGTGTTAGTCCTCCCTCAAATTTGGAGCAGCCACACCTTAAAATTAAAAACCTTCTCTGGCTGTGCCCAAACTGCATAGCTATGACTTGCCACTAGAAGCCTGACTAGGAGCTACCTTGTTCCTCCTCTATCCCCCTACACCCCACTCCTGGACCCATCCATGCTCTGCAACCTGGCTAGCTGGCATGTGCTCTTACAACTGATAGTGCTCCACCTATGATGTGTGTTTCTAACCAGAAAGTATAGCAGCAGTTGACGCTACCTAGTAACACTAGCTTTCCATCATCTCCAGCAGTCTGTCATAGCATGGGATGAAAACATATCAGTAATGAAGTTGATCCACACGTTTTGCCTTGGCCTTGTTTTTCACTTGGCACAAATATTTTGTGCAAAAGCAGAATGTACAAGGGAGAGGGCATGTAGGGGAAAAGGAGCTTTTGCTTAGCCATTCTCCTCCTCTGCTTGGTGGTTTCATGGCTTTTGTACAGATTTGATTTTTGCACCTCATACAACTTTGTCCACATGGGAAAGTACAGCAGAAGATATCTATAACTCAGGTAAAGTTTGGAAAGGAACTTTGTAACTCAGGTCTTCAAAAAGGGCTGAGTGGATCCCCCAGTCTTCCTTATATAGGAAGCCTCCCTAGCCAGTGACTCACTGGAAAAACTGTAAATCAGTGTTACATCAAAGGCTGGTGACAGTTGCAAACCAGTGGGAAAGAACATCTCTTCCTGACCTACCACCACAAAGTGATGAAGTAGCTGAAGGCAATAGAAAATCTGGATTATACAGCTTGTTTTAGTCAAGGCCTCATATAGGAAAATATACTGTAACTCCTTTCTCTAAGGAAGAATTTTCTCCCTGGCAACTTCTCACTAGTCAGAATTGTACAAGTTTATCCTACGGCAGATTTAGGCCCCAAAAGGGCAAAATTATCCCCTTCCTGTACCAGGGTAAAGCTAAATGAATTACTGCAGATGTACACCAGCGTAACTGAGGACCAAATCTGGACCAATATTACTATACCTACATTACTATGTCTGACATTGCTGGGGAATTTACCCTGCCTAAATCTAATCCCCTTGTCCACCACTTGATCAGCAAATATATTGTCTCATGCATTCCGAATCACATGGAAAGGGTATTAAGAAAGTAATTAGAACCTTTATTATGACTTTGCAAAATACAGCAACAGGATTCATTTAGTTAATACCTGAGGTGTCCTTCTGCATTCACCTCTCTTTCAGGCAATCTGAAATTATCAGCAAAACAACTGTTTGTGTCAGTTTTACCAAAGTATTGGGTGCAATGTACAAAGTGGTGAGTCAGTAAGGCCTTAGATAGTTCACATTGGCTCAGTTACATATTTTGTTATGTGTAAATTGTAAGTCCACAAAGAGAATAGTTTTAATGTCACTCCTAAAAGCTGTGAGGATTGAATATTGCTATTCAGAGTATCATGGAAAATATATTTTACAAGCGACCAGAGTGACATATGTTTGAAAGTCACTGATCATATAATGTTCTCATGTACCCTTTGGCAAAACATGTTTGTGATTTTTCATCCTTCTTTATTGTTGTTTCAACAATTACAGTTCTTTGAGATACTCAATTTAAAGGGCCCAAGACAAGCTGAATATATGCAACTTAAACCAAAGCCAGTGCCCCAAAAAAGAAATATCAACTGCTTTAAATTTGCTAGTGGTACTTTTGGGGAAGCATTATTATAGAACTTTTTTGATATTGTTAAGAATTACTACTCTTAGGGCACATCTACAGGTTTCCCTATGGCGATGTTGTTATTGCACCGTGCTTTAGTACTTCCTTTTGAAAGTATTAAAGCATGGCGCAGTAACTGCCCATACTGTGCCATATGCGCAGCACACGATTATTTTTAGCAGCTACTTCACCGTAGCAGTGTGCTATAATGGGGGATTATTAGTGCTGCTATGGCGAAGTAGCTGCTGGTCACATGTAGACACCTGTGGATGCTATATCATACTAGCATCACGTGTAGATGCACCCTTACAGTATGATTTCACTTTGCTGTCTGGAGATTCATATGTGTGCTTGAATGTTTGTAAGATTAATTTTCTGAAGATAATTATTGAAATAAATTAAGTATTGAAAGCTTTCTCTTTATATATTGATCCTTCAATATATACATGGAAAGGAATGACATCTCAAAGTCAACATCTGGTTTAAATAGTGTAATTAATTGTGATAAGCATTATTACTTTAGGTCAATGTATTACAGTTTACACCCAATTCTCTATTCAGACCTACTAAAGTTACCGTTGCATCGGCTCCAAGTTTACCTATTGTCCCAATGAGATGATTTGTTTTAGAATAGCACCCAGTGAAACATGGCTGGGGAACAGAAAATTGCCACATATATTGTACACAATAATGACAGGAAAAGGAAAATCATTAAACTTTAAAAACTGCTGTAAAGAAAAAGGGGAAAATAGATAAATATCCGAAGAATTGGGCACACCATTTGGAACAGTGTGATGAAATTCATCCCCCTTCACTACACAAAATTCAAAGAGATGAGCTGGGAGTCTTAGACTCAGGCAAACAGAATCAATCTCCCAGATCACAGAGCAAGTATTAGGACTGGAGCACATTCCCAGCCCCACCCTCCCCTCCTTCGCCTACTACAGCTGTTATTCCAAGCTGTGGCTGGAATATAGTGCTGCTCAACTGAACCTCAAATACAAGGGTTCTCATTTATTAGATCTGCATAAGTGTGGATCCAATGGCCACCACCCATGGGCAGCACTGTCTTCAACCATAGCACCCTGCTGCACTGAGCATAAGCAGGCCTCATCCTACTTCCACAGATGTCAACATTAAAGATTTGACAGACTTCAACAGGTACAGGCTTGGATCATTCTCAGTCCAAGCTCTCACTGGGCTTTTCTTTATTAGCAGCATCATCTTTAAACTGGAAAGAGGATTTTTCATTTATGCTGGTACCTGACATGTGTCACACTACAAATTAACGTTGCCGAAACTTTGATGTGTCCTCTCTTTATTGTTACCCGCAGCACAATCAAGTAAAACAATGCCGGTCAGCCTAATTACAATTAGACAAGAATCCAAAACTAGTATGCAGTTTTGTCCTTTATATTTGTTAAATATTCTATTTAATTTATTTTCTCTCTTTGTATAGGGGATGGAGGAATTTCACAATCATTTTCACGGGCTTGAGTAACAGCAGTATAGGGTTTGCAACACATCATATGAGTATAATGGTCACAGAAGGAATGCTCAAGGAATAAAGAATACACACATGTTGTAAAACGGTGGCTCTCCTAAAAGGACAATGGCAAAAATCCCATCATGGAACCACTGTTTCATCCCTGATGCTTTACATTGTGCCTTATACCACATATTTGACATGTAGATGGGTATATCCTTCCAATTCAGGTCATAAACTAAGATTAGTATGCTGGAGACTGACCACTCAGCTGTTTTCAACTATTTTTAGATTCCCTTACAGTTCTTTCCTCAACAATCTCACTATTACATCTCCTACCCTGCCACAAAGAAAATATTATCAGCTGCAACACAAAGGATCTGAGGTAAATGTGCTGGTGACACTTTGTAGGGAATATTTTGGCAGGTGCAACCGGATGATGAGCCAACACATTTTGCACTGTTCATTATGAAACCCTGTTCAGGTCATCTTAGAATAGAACAATTAGAAGCTGTGGAAAACATACTTGCTCCAGTGAACTTTTCCCTCCAGAGTCTGCATCTCTCCAAGTATAGCAAGGAGAAGTGAAGATTTGCCACAGCCCACCTGACCCACAATCATTGTCATCTGACCTGTAATGATAAAAGAAATAATAATTAATACATAATGAAAACCAGAAAAGATTACCAAATGATCAAGGCCTAATTCACTAAGCATTTAAAATACATGGTTATACTTGTTGCTACCCAATATGCTTTTGTGAATATGAAGTTCTACATGTTTCCAGCTAATTTTTAAGGAATGGATACAGGCATACAGTATCTTCCATGAGGTGAATATATTTTTATGTTATATGCTGTATGTGTGTTAATGACATGTTGTATGACATAATTCCCCTGCATATTCCTATTCTTGCAGTGCAGGAATGTCTGACTTTAAAGGTCACATGTGGCTGCATTTTGGGGGTTGTTTGCAGTTACTTAGGGTGAAGTTACATATTACTATTTCAACACTACTAATGGCACTTAAAATGTGAGCATCCACATGTTAAAGCCTGTTAATTCATGCTATGCCCTCTGAGGGCACATCCAGACGAGCACGCACATGTGTCTTGCAGCATCTCAAACCCCTTTGAGACACTGCAAAACGCACGTGTGGGAACAAAAAAATGTTCCCTGTGCTGAATATTTGCAGCCTGCAGACAAAATTAGACCCCTGGATATCCAGGGATTAAAAAAAAATGCGCCACGGAACAGCAGGGCAAGGCACTGGTCAAGACTGTGCCTGGAGGCAACCCAGGCGTCTGTCCTCCAAGACAGATGCTCTGGTTTCTGAACAGAGTGTCTCTGTGGTGCTTCTGCTGCCCCCGGCACTGTCAAGGGTAAGTTAGGGACATGG